GAATTTTACTTCATGGCAAAACGCCTTACACGTCGACAATATACGAACAAATAATAAACCAGCATACGAAAGATAAATCATGACGCAATTTCTAAAACCTTCGCGTAAAAGAACATATCAAAGGAGTAATAGCCCTGGATAACGTCACACAGGCTATTAAAGATGGGATTGTCTAAAAATAATGGTCACATGCAATGACGGCATCCAACTTCTGAGAATTAACATTATATGGCAAATTATTCTTCTTTCAGATAGTGAATAAGCTTCGTAAAACTTGATCACTTCGACTTTGCGGTTATAACCCAACAACTAAACAAAAACATGTAAATAAAAAAGTTTAAGTATTCCATGCTACGACATATTAAATCGTAAAGATGAAACTCAATGTTTCAAAATGCAACTGCTGATCTTCCAAAGATAAACTGAAATACGGCTGCGAGCCACTTAAAAGATCAATTATCTCGTGATCTGTAAGCCGCGTATGAAAGTACGAGAAATGCATACAACGGGGTGTTAACCCAGAATACACGCTAAGCACCCATCATTTTCGTGACATTGTTGTACGAACATGATGAAGTTTACCACTGTATGTCTTACAAGAGCTTGTTGTTCCTACTACCATTTGAGCAATGTGCTCTATAGACGCGATACTTGGCCATCGTATTGATGGCATATCTTGTAATTTAAACCAAATCAACAAATTATGAGCTCAGAAATCCAAAACACATGGACTTCTTTAAGAATATAAGAAATGAAAAAATGATTTTCTGACTAAGCTGTAAAAATACGCTTATCTGAGAGCAGAGCTGCATTTACGGAGCGAGCGATTAAGGATCAGTTCGAAATAGCGCTGAACGAATGGCACGTGTTCATGGATAAAGCAAAACATTTTTTACGTAAACCCGATGACATTAAACGACGAGAAATGGTGTAAAATTGTGCGAAGCCGTTTATCTTCTGAAAGGAGAATGAACAACATGCTTATCTTCAAGGAGAAAACGAAATTTAGCAGCCGATATTCCCTCTTGTACACCACAAGTGAAAAACTGCTTTTCCGTCAGTGCAAGCAAAACCAACAAAATATGGAACATTAATGCGAAAGAACAAAAACGCGACGCATCTTCCGTGCTAGACGAGGTAAGTCGGCAAAAAATAAAAATATCAAATTAATAAATTGATAAAATCGCGATCATTATCTAAAGAAGCCACTCGGAGTGCCATACCTTGAGTTATCATGCATGTTACACAGGACCTCTGAAACCCTATTTTTGCAGTGGTGACTTTGCATGATACTTCTCCGCGCTGAAAGCTCATGACTCGTTTGAAAGTATTGAAAGTGTCCAAAATAATCAGTCTTTCATCTTCAAAAGCAGTGTATAGAATGCTCCGGCATTCACTCTCCGAACATCAGAGATAATTATGATCTCAAAAGGATGGGAAAGGAGATCAATTCACCCAATGTGATCATAGTATGAGAAGAAAACAAGGAAATTTGTGCAGGAGAGTCTGACGTAGAAAAATGTAGTTAAATTAGAGCGCTTTTCAAATAGTGGATGGAGTCGATCAGCGGAACACGTCCCTTTCAACAGGACCTACTTTCTATGGTACATCGCTATTCACTGTTGGTGCCAGCAGTTAGTCGTCATACGCACATGAATTAAAAATTTTAGACGCGAGGCAAGAACTAAAAGAAGATTTTAAACGTTCTGCTGAGGACGACTTTTTTGAACAGGATTTGAATAACCTGAACAACCTTTAGAAACCGTCGACATGTTTGCTGTTGCATCTACCAGAAACTTTACTTTGTCAGCCTGGCGACAGTGACTTACAAAAGCAGCTGTTGCAAAAACGACTCTTTAAAAAAGTGCATGCTAACTGGCTGATGACGTGAGCCACTAGTAATACAAAACTTGCTGAGGCACTGATGGTGGCAAACAAATCATAACTGCAATCGGTTGACTGATTAGAAACAGCCCATGCACTGTAGCTTACATAAAAAGTGGGGGAGTTTAAACCGCCCATTAGGTGGCTAAAGACAAAAGAATAACGCCACAGATTCATTATTTTCAAGTTGGCTACAGTACAGTTATAGGTCAGGACAATATACATGGAGTGGTAAACTGTTAAATGAAATTCTTTGGATTCAGTGATCCTAGGCAACAAAAAGAAGGCATTCCTCGAATACAAACAATTTGAACAGCTTTGACAATGTATAACGCAAGGGTCACAATAAATCTCGTTGATAAGGGTGGTAGGTAAAACTCGCGATATGTAGCCACGCGTTTAATACTATTACTGGTATGAAACGCATAGTATCATAAAGTTTTACGGGATAATGGGAGTGCCGGGTAGCCATTCTTATATTGACAAGGCAAATCAGCAACCGACTGCTCGAAACTATTGCATCATCATGCTTTTGTTAATTCTGACAATCCTAGAAAAAATAAAAGGGAAAATTAATGATTTCGCGAAGAAAGGACTTCCGGTGGATACATTTTGTATGTCGACATCTTTCATTATGACGAATGTCGACATTGACAATTTTTGACGGGTTATTTTAAGACTCCACGAAATATTTTGTAAAAATATTGTGCAGGATTCCAGAATCTTCATCTATTGAAGTGTTTCAAACTGGGTCTAATCTGTTAACCAACAAGCCTGTATACGTCTTTTCGAAGAGAAAAGCAAAGCTTAACTAAACCGTAAAATAAGAGCTATTATAAAACAGCGCATTAAATGAATAGAAAAATGAATTAATTGCCGCATCTAGTAACAGATTTTCGAACTGAAAGTATCGACGGGACGGAGACCGCAGCAGCTTTCAAATGAGGTGTGAAATTAATTGACATGTTGTTATTTGCATGCTGTTATTTGTGACATTTTTCAGGCGGGAGGAGATGCTTAGTGATTCGCTGAAAATTAGCAGATTCGCGTATTAACCTCATCTGCGTCAAAGTAATAAAATGCATTCACAGTAAGTATCAAAAAGGATGCACTTAGAGGGAAAAGAATACCGTATTAGCGTTTGATCACTAGGTTCATATTTATCGCAACAGATTTCTGAAAAGTTACTGTTTCATGAGTGCTTCTGTAGTGATTGGTTGTAGGGATTTAGGTGGAGTTTTCGTTTCGTATGAAATATGTAGTTTTGTGATGTACAGCAGATAGAGATTTTTCAGGTGCAGTATAAAGTAAAAATGGCGTCATACCGATGATGTTCATGCTAAACAAGTTGACAGTTCTTAAATGTCTCCAAAGTTGCCGGTGAATAACGGAAGTAAATGGGTGCGCAACTTAGTTTGAAATTCGGTAATTCTCTATTGGCGCTGTTCTGCATCCTGCTTTCCTTCTTTCATTATCATGTGAATGTTGTATAAATGCATAGAAAATTTCGTACATGATAGCTAGCTACTGGTAACAATCCTAAAGTAAAAATTTGCTTATATATCTTTATCCTATATATAAATTTGTCTTGTCGTATATTCTTTTCCGATGAACACAGTATGGTGCCAGCGATTTCATCTGAACATGACCATCATGTCGTTCTTTCCGGCCCCGAAGAAACAGTCTTCAGGGCTGCCTAGCCAGCGATGGGAAGCAGCAGTGCGTTGACTCAACGTTCGTAATAGTGGCCACGCGCGACTGGTGAATAGCCTATTGGATATGAATGTCCAGAAACGCCCGTTGGCATATACCAAAGTAAGTATTTCATCAGCGAAACGATCAAAAAGAATATACTGAGAAAACGCCTTCCTACCATGAACATTGTTATCAGTATCATTAATAGCTTTATTCTTTAATCTCCGAGTTTGATCGCGTGTAGACGGCGTTGGGACTAGCCAAGGAACTGGATTTTGGCGCTAGCGGCGTCATATTCAGGCAGAATCGGTGGACTTATTGCTGTGCGTTTCGATCATGTGTTTCCTGCCCGTCTTCTATTTTAGCTGCCTTGCTTAAGCGCTCTTTTCGACGTTAAGGCTACATTTGATTCAGTACATCGTCCAAAGACATAGAATATCCTTAAAACTCCTTAAAAAGCTATGGAATTGTTGAGTATATCATGTCTCTTTTGGAAGAGATGTGTGCAGCAGGCATATCTGATGTTAATTTCGAAGAGAGCTTTCTGGAAGACCCCTGTTAAGCGTAAAACTCGTCAGTGGATTGTACTTTCGCCTTTGTTGATCAACGGTGTTGTTATCGCTTTCTTCTACGAAACAGTAAACAGTTCTGAGCAGAGACGAAGGTCTCATTTTGAATGGAAGGCGCAGTTCAAGATGTCAGGATATATCTGTTGCTGATCCTGAGTGTTCAGGTGATATGGTTCTGGCTAGCAGTATGGAACGCGGGCTTTGTCACCTGACGGCCTTGTGTATTACACCCGCAAAAACTAATCTCTTACTTAAAGGCCAGGTGTAAAAAGATTACGAGAAGCCAATCCAGTATAGGAGATCGGCAAGTATTATGTCGGGTAATGGTGGGCAAGCAGGATCACCCATTTTAGCACCTCGACTCCATCATTTCCAGTGACGGCACTTTAAAATTAGATTTAAGTTTAAGGATGAACCTTGCTTTCAGTTCTTTTGGTGACCTGTCCAATATTTGGGTTGCGAAAGAAATATTCTTTTTGCAGAATAATATCCCAGACCTCAGTGAATCATTTGCTTTTACCAGATATATGCTTACCTACTGTTAGAAATTTTGACGGATATTCTAAGCGGACAAATGACTCGAACTTTCAACGTATGCGAAATTATTCGTCTTTTTAAAAGTGCATTGAAGTTATTACAGATGGCAGCGTATAACATGTTAAATTCTTTACTTGCCGGTGTCGCTGATATATTGCAGTTTCGTTTTTCCTGTTTCATTCGCTGCATATGGACTTGTTCCGAAAAATGGTGTTATAAAAATAACCTATGCACGGCGGTAAAATAGTTGTCGCGTGGTACCGTGAACTTTCTGAAAACTATTGAATGTAGGTATCGGAATGATGTAAATTATGGCAGAAGCCGCACAACAGATTCCCGAAGACATTCACATGGAAACTGATGACGAGACGCATCCGCAAAAACGAGATGCAGAGTCAAGCGCGATCTTGGAGGGAAGCGGCATTTCCTGCGACGTTGTGTGCACCCGCGTCGAAAGCACTCCGGACACTTCACTGGTGGAGTACATCGATATCGCGCCCGATTCGGAGGAGGTGGATTTGAGTCACAGTCGCATAGACAAGATCGAGGATATGCAGATGCTGACAAAGGTAAAAAGTTTGTGTTTCCGACAGAACTTGATCAAGAAGATCGAAAATCTGCACTTCTTGGCGTCGACGTTAGTTGAACTCGACCTGTACGACAACCAGCTGGAAAAAGTGGAGAACCTGGACGCGCTTGTGAATTTGGAACACCTGGACTTGTCTTTCAATCGTATACGCGTCATCGAGAACTTGGACCACCTGACGAACCTGAAACGGCTGTACTTTGTGCACAACAAGATCACGCAGATCGCCAATCTGGACGCGTTGCATAAGCTGGAAATCTTGGAGCTGGGTGACAACCGCCTTCGCAAGATTGAGAACCTGGACAGCTTGACGAACCTTACCGAGCTCTATCTGGGTAAGAATAAGATTACGGTGATTGAGGGTTTGACGAAACTGACCAAGTTACGGATATTGAGCATACAGAGCAATCGTCTGACCGTCATCCAGGGTCTGGAGACGTTGGTCGAGCTGCGCGAACTGTACTTGAGCAGTAACGGCATTTCGAATATCGACGGTTTGGGCGGTAATCTAAAGCTGAATATTTTGGACCTGGCTTGCAACCGCATTGCTAATCTGAAGAACCTCGATCACTTGCTGGATCTGCAAGAACTGTGGTTCAACGACAACCTGCTCAGCGACTTTCGCAAGCTGGACGACTTGCAGCCGTGTCTCAAGCTGAACACCGTCTACTTTGAGCGCAACCCAATTTACAGCGATCCGAATTATCGCCGCAAGGTGAAACTTGCCTTTCCTCATCTGGACCAGATCGACGCTACCTTGTGCCATGCTTAAGCTGCGTGCGTACTTCATTCTACTTTCCTTGCTTCTGTGTGTAAACGAAAGCCTGTTGCCATTAACGGAAGAAGTACTGTACACTTACTGATGTCGTCCTACGGCTTGAGTTTCACGAAACGACTGCCTTTAATCAATCTTTCAGTTATTTCATGTACGATTGCCACTGTTGACTCGGTGATAATTTTGAATGATTGCTTATTGTCATGATTCATTAAATTTTTTGTTCTTCTGCGCGTCTGTGTGAGTCTAGCTGAGTCTTTATGCTTATTGTCGCATGTGAACGACCTATCATCGTCATCGCGGTTTATCTCAATCGTGTGACGAATCCCCCTTGTTTCTGACTGCTTATTTTTCTGCCGTTCCACGAAGTATGGCTCAGTTTTGGCTTCATCTTGCGCACCCTCACCTATTAGGCATCGTTGTGGCCGTGTGAAACTACTGAATATGAGCGGTTCCTTTTCGGATTAGTTAAATATTTAAACACACGTGTCCGTAGAGGATGAGTACTTGAGTTCTATGATTGAAGCATAATGTAGGTCTAAAATGTTTAGTGATAAGTCGACATTTATGACACCCGAGTTCTTGCATCCATTCACTGGCAGTAATTTTGCATGACCTTCCGAACGTGTACGGGGTCAGGGTGTGGGCTTAGAGAGATGATCTTTGGCATTGCACGCCAGAGGGTCGCATTCGAATTCAGACGAGCAGTCAGTGTTTCACACGACTGACTTCCTTTGAGCAAAAATTCCACTTCCGCTGCATTTTGATACAGCCAGCAACAAAAGCATCAATGGTAGCACCCTTGTTTTCATGTAGTTAGTGGCGGCGGTGCTTATCTCCATTTCTGTGTCATAAGTTAGGAGTGCCTTATTTTTTTAAGACAGTCGGTTACAGCTGTGACAGTCTGCATTTTCTTGTTTCCTTTCCTCTCAGTTATTAGAATGGTACTCAACTTTGGAAGAAAGAAAGGTGAATGACCCCGACCGAGGTTTGTTCTAACTCAGGACCTCGCGGTTCTGAGTCTGACCGAATAATCCCGGTCTGAAGCAACGTGTGGTAAATTTCTTGCCCAAGAAAATTCGTGGTGGAGACCAAAGACTGAGAATCGAACTGGGCACCGTCGGTAGGGGAACAAATATTATAATGTTCTGGTGTGGTCGTGCGAAGGTTATGAATATGCCTGATGAGCGTGCTACAATGCTCCTGCAATGTGCCTTGACCGACCTGATTGTGAAAAATGAAGATGGCTAAAATTCAAGGTGTAATCGTTAAATAATCATTGAAAACACCGTTTTCATTAGCTGTTGATCGTGTTCTCCAGAGGAAGTTTCCAAGGTAATTCTTGTGGCTGCACTTCACTTTGACCCATCTGATAGATAATTTATTGCAATAATCAGCACAAGGTGTAGTCCTGAATGTTATCTTTTGTAAACTCAAAATCTAAAATTATCACCTGTCATCAATTTCAGATTAAGCCTAAGGCTTTCTGCGTCAGGATTAATAGTACGTGAAAACTAGTTACTTCAAATTTTCGTCCTAAACAGTCAAATAGTTCTGCTGCAGACTTTGCTATGTTTTAACTTCTCGCGTGACAACAGACTGTCACTCCATGACAAATGCCATTTTCCATGCAGGCGAATGCAAAGTTTTGGACAAACTTACTACGAAGAGTATTGAACCTTTAAGCTTTCTTATTTCTAAGTTCTCTTCATATTCTAATATAGGAGATTTAGGCATACCCAGTCAGCAGTAAGAAATCGTCATGCTTCTTTTGCTCTGGGTATCATTCTTCTTGGGGCGGATTTGTAATCCTTTTCAACAGGTTTTAGCATAAGCAAAATTTACGACAAACTGTTTCGTTTTCAGCGCCTGCACAAAACCAGGTGTTTAAGTATATATTATTTATAGAAAAGCAATTTTTCACTGATACAGTAGTTCAGTTTATTGAGCTCACTCTACAATGCAGCGTCCAAAACGGCCGTCCTACTGAACGTGCAGCACAGATAATACGCATACAAGAGCAGGTCCAACGACTGTCAAACAACGTTTGCCCAATAGGCGCGTATCACGGTTCAGAAACGGTATTCTCAACAAGTGCTAAAGGCCAGTACACTTCAACCGGATAGTATTCAGTACATTTCTGTGTGTACACAGTTTCAGCAACATTATCACAGTTAATTAGCAATACGATAAAGAGCAAGTATTGAACAACTGACATGCCTTTAATTACTCGCACCGCTGTGCACGTGTTATCCACATACAATTGATGCGTATGATCTTCAAGGACGTCATGGCGTGGCAGAAGTTGCGGAATCGAAACGATGCAACATGTTGACTGAAAATGCGCCGATGCACTGAGCAACCAAGCGCTGACGGCCATAACCGCCTGGGCCGAACCTTTTCGGATGTGGCGGCAGCACCAGTGGCCAAGGGTTACTACTCAGCCGTCGAACGCCAGCAAGTCACGTTCGTGGTTCGCCTCAGCGCTTTTCAAAAGGAACGACGCACAAAAGTGAATGAAACGTTATCACATTCAGAACGAGCAAAACACCCGTAACGCAGATGTACAGAAGAGATTATAAGTATCCATAAAGCTTCGCTCAGAACAGAAACGCAGCTGTGACGACGGTGCAACACGGTGCGCGATGCCTGAAAAAAACGCCGTCGACGCGTAACGACATCGCAACGTGCAGCGTCTCTAACAATCGTTATTCGCTGTACGTTCCTCGTTCACCTGACTAAAGCATTCGTCCATAAAACGGGCCTGAAACACGAATCAAACGATCACATCCATTAACGCCGAGCACACGCCAACCCCACCACCACCGCTGCCGTCAGCATCCGCCAACAACTGTTCGACTAGTGGTAAACACTGCTCAAAACTGATTATCTTCAACTTTACTGAATGAGACTGAAATAAAAGGTTTTGCCACTTACTGCCTCTCTTGAAAGACAGCGTCTCCTGGAACAACATTCGCCACCTGCAGCGTACTGCCCTAGCCAGTAAGATAATATGAGAGACATCGACGCACTGTATGTGCTAAGATATGACGAAGCCGCCGTCTGCTTACATGGCCCCTATGAATCTAACAGCAAGCGGACGATGTCATAAAGTCATGAAATAACACTTTGTGAGTTTATGTGCTTATAAACAAAACCTAACATCAATGAGACGTATACGTCTCGCAACCCGTTGTAACTAGCTGCTGCTGCTTACTCACAAAAACAAATTGCTATCGTTTACAAAAAAGGGCAACATCGCATAAGGCAGCATTTCTCCATTTAAAATGTACTAAGGGATGCGTTAGCGCTGAAGTGTTAGCCTACTCCGCAGTTTTGATACAGCAGGCTCGAGTTCCACTACGAAGAAGAAATTTTCCACTCAATGCTAATTTCCTTCACCAACAAATTCACAACACTCAGTTTCGATGCAGCCAGTCGAAATGCAGAGCAAATCTTAGACAGTAGCGAATAAGGATGGGGCGGTGTTCTCGTGTTGTCGTGTCAGAACGTGCTAGACGCACGAGCATGTTGCTTGACGGGTAAGCTCTAAGGCTACAATTCGCCTTCACTCATGTGACAGCTCACTAAAACTGGGCACAAGGTATAAACTAAAATAAAAAAAAATTTCATTTAAAAGATATTCATCAACACAATAAAGCTCAGGAGCATCACGGCAGCGGGCGTCGAGTTAAACAGTGAAAAGTACTCACGAAATGAGTCGAAAGTCTTATTCGCTTCGCTTTCATGCTATCTCGGAGGTAAGTGAATAGAAAAACTTCGTCACTTTCAGCGCCGTATTCCATCACTTCACTCCATGCACATTCCAGCACTTGATCCTAGTATGAAAAACACCGCCATCGTAAGAGATATCACCACTGCCACGGTTCGGACAAGTAATCAAAGTACCAGAAAGGACACTCGCAAGACAGACCGTCCTGACAAAGGCATACGGCAGACTTAGAACCAGATGATTCGAACATTCGGTACTTTCGTACGCACGAAGTTCAGTACTGAAAAATCTCTGAACAACGGAATCAAGGGGCCATCAGAACCGTCTCGTGAAGTAACTGAAACCATAACCCAAAGCTATCCGCTAAGAAAATAAATAAATAAATTGGTCAGAAGCTGAGACGGCAACAACCAACTCCATATAATTTGACTCTCGTCAACGAAGTGCCAAGATTCTTGAAATCTGAATCTCAGCGGGAGGAAGCTAAACAGATGTCGACATCACCACGCGTACTCAAGCAGGTGTTGATTCCTAGTAGAACCCAATCTGGCAGAGAGAATCAATGAATAGAAGCCTGTCAGCCAAAGAGTGGCAATCTTCCGAATGAGGCTACAAAAGGCTAAAACGCTGACCTTCTTATACGTCAGTGGGCCAAATTCAGAGGGTGAATATGAATCCTTCCATGAGGAAGCAGAAAGTCCTTTGTATGAAACGACGACAACGGAATCTCTCATTCTAACAGGCGATTTCAATGAGCATGTCAAAGCAGACGCAGAAAAGTAGAAAAGTGGAAAGGCATAATCGGAAAGAACCACTACTGCGACCTCAACAATACTTGAATGAATTTGTGCAAACAGACTGTCTATTATGAACAGTGAAGAGTATGGAACCGTGCATCAGTGTACCTGGCACAGGGAAGCCTGTGCATTGAAGTCGATTATCGATTTGATCATCCTATCGACTTACGATACTTTGTAATGGATGTTCGCGTTAAAAGAGGCGTAGGCCAGTCAATCGATCATTACGTTGTTGCTGGCACGCTACGCTGCGAGAAATGGAGTATCATGCGATGATCTGGTGGCAGAAACAAGCAGAGAATCAAATGGGAAACATTGTCTTCGGCGGACACGAGAGCGAAATTTGCAAACAACATCGCATGACGGTTTGAACAGATCCTGGTGATGACCACTGATGTGGAAACCGAACGGGAGGTCTTTAAGAGCGGCATATCGAGGCTGCCGCCGAATGCTGCGGATATAAACGGGTTGGCCTGCCGCCTGGAGATCAGAAAAGATCTTCTTGGTGGACACGAGAGGTACATCTAGCAGTTAAAGAGAAGAAGGCTGCATTCCAGAAGTGACTTCGAAGCAAAGAGCCTTCTACGCACATACGACATGTCGAAGGACGCAAGGCGACAGCGAAAGCAGTGGCGAAAGTTAAAGCTGATTCCTGGGAGAAATTCGGTGAGGTGTTGAAGTGGAATTTCCACAGGGCAAACTAAATATTCTGGCAGACCATCCGCCGGCTCCAAGGTGAAAAGAAGGGAAATTTAAGAGTAATGAAGAACAGGTATGGACCCTACTTACCGAGGATTAGGAAATTCTTCGGCGGTGGAGAGAGTACTTGAGGAACTCCTTAATCGTGAGCAACCGCATGAAGACTCGTCTGTGGAACAGCAGGGAACGGTATTAATATTTCTGTAGATGAAATCATACAAGCTGCGAACAGCTTAAAAAGTGGAAAGACTGCTGGAATTAATGAAATCCGCCCTGAAATGTTCAAATCAATATGCGAACAGGATATGGCTGTCCGTGAAGTTGCAACGGCTACGGAAAAGACACTAGCAGATAGAGAACGGGGTTTGTAGTACCACTGTGCAAAGAGGAAGACTGTAATTATTGGGTACTGATCCTTCCGAGAATAGTCTACGCAAAGATGCTAGAAAAAAGGTGCCGCAGAATAAATGATTCGAGAATACAAGAGCAGTGTAACTTCCGATACAGCTGAAGCACACCTAACCAGATATTCGTCCTATGCCAGATTGTTGAGAAATCGTGGGTGATCGCTCACCAGGCATATATGTGCACTGTGGACATAGAGGAAGCTTATGATCAGGTATCGTGCAATCTACAGGAATGCCTGCGAACACATGAGACCAATGGCCAGCTGCTATGACCAATCCGATCACTACATGCTAATAGCAGATGATGGGTCAGAGAAAATGGCGTGAAGTTGAGACCGTTCAGCGATTTCATTGGTCTTCGCCAAGGCTGCATTCTGTCCATTCTCCTGTTTGTGTTCTACATGGATAGATAAGTCAGGCGCAGCCAGGATGATGAGTGTATCAGCGTAGGAGATACCGAGACGAGAAAGTTACCGTTTACAAACGACCTTGTTTTGTTGGCATCTTCTTCAACTGATTTCCAGCGCTCTTTGGAAAAGTTCGCAGCCGAGTGCGACGTGGCCGGCATGTATCTGAATGTATCTCAAACGAAAAGCTCAGTGCTTTCTCGTTTTCTTGGCCGCTGTTCTCCCCAGATAAACGGAGAAACAGCTGTTGTCATCGTCATTAAACAGTGGATCAGGTGGAGAAGTTCAAGTACCTCGGGATCGTGTTTACTGGTGATAGAAAATCTAATGAGATCGACCGGCGGATTGGAGTAGCTAATAGTGTTCTGCAAGAACTCGATAGAAGGGTCATAACTAAAGAGGAGTTGAGGCTGAAGGCTAATATCTTGTTGTTCAAGTCGATCTTCATGCCCACGCTTACCCACGGTCATGAGTTGTGGATTATGATAGGAATGACCATGGCTGATCCCAGGTGCAAGCGGCTGTAATGGGCTTTCTGAGTCAAGTCGCTGGCTTTATGCGTCTCGACATGGTACGGAGTACAGAAACCGGCGATAGCCCTGGTGTACAGCCGCGGTTTCTTCAGAATGAGAAGTCACAGCTGCGATAAACTGGGCAGGTGCTGCGAACACCTCCAGAAAGGAAGGCGAAGCACTACTTGTCTAGTCGACCGGCAGAAAACCGATGGGACAGCTAAGATTAACCTAGTGCAAAAATCTAGGAGTCTGCTCCAGATTCCAGCTGTCTTCTGCCGAAGCTCGGACACTGACACAAGATCGGGAACGTTGGAAACGCTGTCTGACGCGTCTGCGTCAGCGACTTGAACAGAGAAGCCGTGACGAAAAGTGAAGTAAAATGCTGCAATGAAATTCTCCATGCCGGGGGCCTCGTCAAAAGGGAGTGGTGAAGGGTTTTAACTTCATTAATAAATCACAATATATGGAAATCTATTTCAGTCTGCACAATACGATTAATAGACACAGATCGACTTCAACATTTACACAATGTAATTACATTCAAAATTCCTCATGTACGTGCGTTAAGCGTAAGCCGAAAATTAACAGTCGCACAAAACGTAGAATTCTGAACGTAACTGCGTTATGCAAACTACAGAAACGTTGTAATCTGTACGATCATACGATCATATAAAATATACTTGTGCATACTCCACATACAGTGATTTATTTCAAAAATTTAAAATGCATAACGCATTCACGATATTATTGTGCGCACTTTTCGTTACCCTCCACGCCGTCGTATTCGAGAAGTTGACAGCCAAAGCAAAACAGTGACGGATAGAATTCTTATAACGGCCCACAAAATATTGCTGAGGATAGCGTGGAAACTTCGAATGTGACTGTTCCACCTTATTCTAACCGGATTTCGCAAGCACCGACCAATGTGAAAATCAAGCCATGAACCCGCTATTAGCTCATTACCTAAACGCAAGATAACTGCAAGATTTGACCTGTTTATTCTATAGCAAACCACCAAGAGAAGCAGGACTTTTGCGACTATGATAACAGACTCCAATGTGCAAATTGATTTTAAAACGTAGAAGACTGTTACTGGAATCCGCCAAGCCATATTAGTAATGGCAGGAAGTTACTGCATTTGACAGTAGCAGTTGTCTTACAAGAAGAACAGGGTCACTCAGTCGGCAAAGCATCAGACTCGAAAGGCTTCAGGTTCAAACACCAGTCAGATAGCTTGCCTTTCTTCCCTCCGATATTGATAAAAGAGCACCATTCTGTGGAGAGAAAATAGGACATTACTCATTATCCTTGTCATATGGCTGCTCTTAACTCTGCCTTCAAGTATGCACTCCCGGCTGATGGCACGGAAATGAAGGACAGTGCACCACCATTAACTTCATGAAAAGAAGACCGTCAGAAATGATACCATCATAAAGGTGTAAAGAAGACCGATATCCAGCAGTTACGCACCTTCTTTTTTCCCTTATAAAAAGAGTTTTAAAGTGCTGTAGACATTACGCCCGCACAATACTGCATCTAGATAACTACTGTCCACTTATTTTGTAAACACTTTAGCACAACTTATGAAGTGTGCAACCACTGTTAAATCCGGAGAAAAATTTGCAACCATCTTGCATTTGAAAGTGAAAACCATATCTGTGAAAAAAATCAAACTCTCTGCAGTTGCCACCGTTTGAATTGAAGCATCACCGCTTTCCCTGCGTTTCTTAGAGCACAACGTTACAGAGAAAGTCGTTCTGCTCTACAGTAAAAATGCGGTTGTAAAATGAGTGCGGCACAATTTTCCTCGTAACTTCTAATTCCCTGCAGCAAGAAATTTATTCAACTGTGATTATATACACTCAGTCGAAAAACAGGATGTAAATCGAAGAAATGCGAACAGTACGTAAAATGTGGCGTTTGTATCGGTTATGCCAGAGGTTGCAATTGTCATAGCCATGCAATCTAACATGTGTTTCACATTCACCTTGTCGCTGATTAAATCTCCACCGGCATGAAACTAAAGCAAGTCCAACTAGCTGAGGGATACTCTGAACAGAGATGCGGTAAAAAGTCCGTACTCATTTCTGAAAAAATATGGTTGAGTATTTTGACGTTTCAGAAGAAGGATCGAGGGTACTGTCTGCATTAATCACAAAAGTATGCTAAGTAAAATCTTTCCATGATGCTTGAACAGAGGATGCTGTGTCATCCATAACGCTCTAACTGAACAGCGTTAAGTTAACAACAAATACTAAATTTCTATAAATTCATTTCACTACATTTTCTGAGTTTTCAACGTCATCGCTGAAGAAAAAATCCGTCTCATTCAAAACTTATTAAAAGATTTCTTTGAAATTTTTTTAATTTTTCTTGGCAAAAAGCTGCTTCTAAAACGAATTATTTTCTCAAATGCCTGTTACAGTTCCTCAGCTTTGATGAAAACAGTAAGTTAACCGTAATTGAATTATCTACTATTTGCAGATGATCTTGCCATGCTCATCTGGTCTTTCACAACAACTTACAACGTGCCTTTGATTTCTTCGATGCTACATGCGATGAAACCAGGATAATAATCAATCAGATATCGAAGTTTTCGTACTCTCGGAGGCCGTTCAATGTGTCTAGATAAGTGGAATGTAACCCGAGTAAACAGAAGAGTTTAATTATCTCGTGCCAGCATGCAGGAATGACAGTAGGCAAGGCGCGAAAACGAACCAACGGGCAGGCTAGATGAACGCTTAGTGCGGGAAGTATATCGGTCTGAGACGATGATGAATTACCTGTAATGTAAGGCTATACGCCATGAAGTCTGTACAAGTTCGTCTCTTTACCTATAACCAAGAGTACTAGAAAATGACCGTAGGAAAGCAATTTCAGATACAAAGGGCAGAAATAAAGTTTCTTCGTAGGATATTTGGTGTGAAAACTCGACAAAAAGTTCAAAATACCTTAAGCTATTATGGGCCACCATTTTGCCGTGTCGAGATCTCACAGGTGCAATGAATTGGGCATATAAGGAGGATGTCACAGGAAGACGGCCGAAGGGGAGACCAAGGAGCCAATGGTATATGTATAAGACCAGACATTATCGCGCTTGGACATTGAGAACGTAGTTTACCCATCTGGGGAGAAAAAACTGGGTTCACTGAAAACGCATTGTAGTGCAAATGCCACTCTTTAACACGAAAAAAATAGCGGGTTTTAAAAGTCAGTGAACATGTTTGGAGAACAATGTGTGTAATAGCATAATGCAAGACATCGAGAACGAAAGTTCGATTTTCCCACCTCCAAAGTTCCGTTGACAGTGCATGCTTGAAGCCGAAGACACTTGTAGCCGAGTGCGACGACGACATGACCGTTTCGGTAACAGTCACAAGCGCAATGAGGAAACGTGATTTCGCCGTATCCGGGAAGAGTCCTGGCTAACGCAAGGTACTGCAAAATGAGAGTGAGAGAATAAATTTATGTAAACAGTCGTCGGGTAGGCACCAGACAGCGCCCGTTACCGCAAGTTACCTGTTCCTTACGGCTAACGTCCTGCAACGCCTTAAGTTCATAGAGCTTTTCGCCGGCTTTGATCTGCCCGCTGTTTACGTCGTTCACAGCCTGAAAAGCCGCAGGACATTTAAGGGAAAGGCAAGCAAGAAGCGGTAACATCCGTTACTGCCACAAACATACCATCCAGTAGAACATCGTATGAGCAAAAGGATGTGACCGGCACAACTCGACTTCTTTGTCAATGCAAAACAGCCAACGCTTGAAGACGATGCAAGTGACGGCGGCGGACGAGTAGTTCTGGATGTACAGACTATGCGGACATTCGTTCGGCTTGATCTTGCGATCTAAAAGCATACATGGTCGGTCGATAGTTGTCCTGAATGGCCAGCTCCATGTGACAGGCAGTGAAACTACCGAAATCTGGCTCGATCATCTCGAACAGCGCAAAGTAGTGGATGATGTCGTCTGAAATCGATAATCGGTGCCGCAGCGCCTTGTACACCTGCGAACAGTTGCTGTTACGCTGAACAGTCACGGTCACCGTCGTCTGATCCGGTAACAGTATGCGAATATCCACATCAAAATACGATATCTGAAAAAGGGCATATCATTAGACGACGGCTGACTACGTTCTCGCCCGTGCTACTGCATCCGACTGAGATTCCATCAGGAACGCCTGCATGATGTCACTTTCGGCCAACACTCGTACGGAGCAAACTGAAAGAACAGACGGCGTCACACAATGAGGGAAAAAGCGTCAAATGCTGAGAGTGCAATGGTCAACCTTTCTCCAGGTACTGTTCGAGGCCGCGACGCCTCGCGTCAAGCTGCTGTTCACTGAGCGCAAAAGGCCACTTGCTGGGCAAGCGAGGAAAATTGAAATCCATAAACTCCATTTTTAAGTAACGATTCAGCTGTTCGAATTCACTGTATCGCCGGGAACACAAATGACGACCGGCCATGTAAATGTTGTACACCTAAACGTTCAAGAAACTCTTAAACAACATAACTTTAAATCAACAAATAATAATTCCAGACTGTTCATATGTTGCACCTTCTTAGACGACCAAATTTGCTGTAGTCATTTTGCTGCGTGAAACTTCAATCTGCGTCGTAAATCTGCAGTATCACAGCAGATAGTATCTGTGAACTATCCTCTGAAAATCTCTTGCATAAGTCTTACCAATATGGAGCAAAGAAAGAATTGAAATGCGTGGTAGAATATTCTGTCAATTCTCTGAAATTAAACGGCGTGGACGTAGGTCCCCTTTCTCCTAGTGACCTAGGTGAGCAAGCACGGCTCAGTGGCATTTTAGATCCAGCAGTGCCTGGATGCAAAACACATCACTACAGTAGTGTCTGTGCAGCGCCGAATAGATACCTGGTGGGACACCTACTCATTACACCTAAATGGCGGTCGAATGAACTATATGTCATTTATAGCAGTTCTGTTCATAAAGACGTTATGGTTACCCGTACAGAAGAATAGGAAGCAGACCGCATTCCCTATGAAAGAACGAAGAAGCCATTTTCTGCCCTGCTGTTTCCTTATAAACGGAGACGACGACTTTATGGCGAGAACGGGGAAATAACCGCACGATGCCTGATGGACGACGTTTGCAAATGGAAAAATGACACTTACTCACGTCACCTGAACAGTCAAGATCGAGCACACTGCACTTGCCAAAACTTGTACTTTAATCATCATTATTCTGAACATTTTGTCAACGTCATCGTGAACAATCATAATACCGGTTTGAACTTTGCTGTGCTAACCCAAAAGCTTAATGGAACAAGCATTGGGATGCTAATTTAGTGTTTGCTATTAGTCGCTGAAATTTTATATGGCAACTATTAATAAGATACAGTAGGAGAGGAAACTAACTGGAGCAACGGGAGAAACAATTCACACACTAACTATTGGATAAAATGACCATTATACACAATAAAAAAGATAATGCCCAGAAAGTTACCACAAATTTTTCGTCCTGTCTCTTCACCCACTGTAAGCTTGGCACAGTGATCGGCAGTGACCGCTTTTCCGAATAGTCGTACGCACTTCCGTTGTCGTCGCTAACAGAGCTTTCAATGCGGTCGAGTTCAGAAGGATCGGCCGAAATGACGGTCAGTACCAGCTTGTCACCACCTGCTTTGATCAAATCTACGACTTGCTTATGCGTTGCGCCCTCGACGCTGACTCCATTACTAAAAGTAAAATAATATAATCGTTTTGCACATTCCAACCTTTCTATAAACAATCAAGAAAAGTGAAAAGAAGCATGCACAAACGGTTTTTGGATAAGCCGTTTGCAAAGAAAAGTGCAACTGAGCGCGTCCATGGGTTGTGGGTAGGTTAACCAGCTTCATATGGGGGTCAGTTGTGAAATAAGCAAGGAATCTAACGAGTAAGCAGACGCACACAATATTATGGCAGTGACAGACGGTCAGGATATATCAAAATTCATAAGGACTATCAATCTAAGATACACCTATCACATGGCACTGTTAGGACTGGCCGACGGTGCTGAAGGAGCTAAAACAAACTTGAAACAGCAAGCACATTCGCAAACGAAGTGAACGACCCAAAACATGGAATTAATGTGTCGAAGACGGCGACATGTAAATCGAAAATCCTTACACTTCCAAAATACGATCACCCTGGTAAAGGCCGGCCTTCTCGGCCGCTCCTCCGGCTAGCACAGCGCTGACGTGTTGCAGCGGTGCGTACAGCTGACCATTGATGCTGCGGTACTGGCCACCTTCGCTGATTTGGCCACGAACGTTGAAACCAAAGCCTGAAGCAACAGATATTCAACGAGTGTTTAACGACGAGAAACGATGACTAATTGGACTGCAATTGCAGATCAGCAAAAAGGTGCCGAAAAGACGGTTGACGAGATATAGCCAGCTGCATCTGAGGCTAACATATACTGGTTAAGTATCATTGTGAGAGATTTAATGACTGACACAGTTTACATCTGAGGAAACAAAATGTTTAAGCATAAAATTAACCTGACTTTAGATCACGAGAATGGCGAAATGGACCAGCGGACCGCATCCATAAAGCCATCAAAGAGCTTAATGACGTTCACTTCAAGGGGGAAAGTCCTAGAGTGAAAAACAATGAAGTACCGTATTCAAAATTATAAATTTGCATATCCTTCTAGCATTGACCCCTTTAATACTGACAATACAATTAAAGAAGACGTGATGTTTGAGATGAAATTTTCTGCTCTATGGGCAGAGTAACACTTTTACCATCGTGATTCCAGCTGCATCGATGTTGGAGGTGGTCTGAATAGCCAAGGCAAAATGAAACTCTTCAACACATGTTGGCTGAAATTTTCCATCGAAGAGGGTGGGCCTGATTAGTGGATGACCCCAGCGAGTCGTTGATTATCCGCCAGGAGCAAGAAG